GGGGGTTGGACTAGACCTATAGAGGTCCCTCCCATCCCTGCTTGTCTGATTCTCTGATCCCTCACTATTCCCCATAGTGAGGATAATAGCCTATTTTTGCCATCAGCTACTTTCTTAGTGCATGTGGCAGAAGTCCGTGCAGTATATTTATAATGTCTAGTGCTCCTAATGAACAATGTGGATATCCATATTGTTTGAACTTCTGTTTTCTTCATTTTTTTAACTAAGAAATCATGATCAGGGAATACTGAAATATTAATGAAATCAAGCACTCAGAACTGTGCACAGAACCCAAGCCCCTTTGTACATATATATTATAACATAATCAATCACATGACTGCATACTCTTTTTTTCCACGGGACCTCCCCTCATCATGTACACAGGATGGGCTGTGCTCATTTAAATGCGACCTACTCAATTGTACAGTATTCTCATCGTTCCATCTGTGGTATCAGGCCATATTTACTCCACCTTAGTCAAACCTCTAGTCTGAAGATAGTATCACCTCAAAGGCTACTATGGCACTCACTACTATATCATCCAAGTGATTCACAAACATTCATTTGTCTTCCCAACACGCCTGAGAAGTGAAGGAAGGAGCAATATTTCATAGACATTAGACACTAGGGCTGGAAGGGACCTCGGGAAATCATTGAGTCCAGCCCCTACGAACCCCACTTCACAGGTAGGGAAACAAAGTATAGAAATAGTAAAGTAAAAAAGTAGCCATTAATTGTAGATGCCAAAGACATGACTTTTTCAGAGTACTTGGCATAACATAACCACTTTGTTCAAAGCACAGCTTTCCTTGACCTCAGCAGCTAGTGCAAGCCTCAGAACTTCTGCAAATCAAATGCCAGGGCATTAAGTCCATCACTCAGATAAGAGGGCTCCACAGTTAGCGATCACCTCTGAAAAGTTTAGTTTAAATGACTTGCCAAACATCACAAAAGACCTCCATGTCAGAGGCCAAGTGAGAATCCAATTCTTTATATTCAACTGCCTTAACAATGAGACCTTCCATTCTCATCCTGCATTCAGTCCTCTGCCCCATTTGCTATACACCTTCCAACTTCTGAAACAAATTAGAGAAACCCTGGAGACAAAAGCCTGCTTCACTACACAACCCCACACCAGGTTCATTCTATGCACTGAATGAGGCAGGAGTCCTGTAGAAAAAAAATGTGACTATGCAGTTAAAAACTGTATCATATGCATGTACACAAGGCAGTTTAATGAAGGTTGTGCAGGGCACCTGCACTGTGCAAACTTCTGAGTGCTTGACTCTGCAACCTTAATAATGTTCTGCTCCTGCAGGTGTGTGCATGCAATAGATAAGGCTAGCCGTCTGTACACCAATTCCTGTGCTCTTAAAGGGATCTGCCTGGTCCAACCTATATTTACTTGCTTGCCTATCTTTAGGTAGAGCTGAGCTGTGACCTCTTTAGGGCAGGGCCCATCCCCTACTGAATATTGGGAAAGCACTGTGCACTACTGTAACAAAATAGGAAAAGGGTAGTTGTTTGAATGTTCCTTTGGGAAGCAGAGATTCTATAGCTGTTTAGCGTATTGTTTAAAATATCATCTTGCCAGGACTGTTATTCTCTTCCTTTTATCTGAGGGCCCTAACACATGTTCAAATTAAAGCTGGATAAAAAACCAGCTATAGAGTTGTTACACATTTTCAAGCACTAGTTTTATAGCTGATCCACTTTTTACAGCTAGACAGACATTTATATCATGTGGTAACTACTTTGTATCTGTGGCTGGTCTACATTTATTTTGTGATCATGAAGTCAACTGCATGACAGATGTAATGTGTAGCAGGGACCACAGAGACTTCAGTGAATGTCTTATTTATATTTCTGTGAGAAATTATGTTTCTTGTTCTTCTAAGAGGTATAGTTTAGAAATGAGAAAAGTGGCTGGCTTTCAGAGTGTGTTTTTAGATCACAAGAAACAAACTGAGTTTGTGCTCAAACACTAAAAATAAAACTAATCATCTGGGGTCAAAGCCAACCTTGCCATAATTGTTCAAGCATTTCAAATGAATTCATTGGAAATGTTGGCAGAAGTAAGGCAAGGAGGATTTGGTCCTCAATCTTTGAAGGCTTGACTAGAATATGATCTGATACCTTCTAGCAGCAGAGTACAAGTAATTAGCTTTACTGCTGCTACTGCATCTAGCTACATCAGGTAGAAGACAGCTGTCACACTGCTGTACGTAACTATCAGGTAGCAGGTATCCTAATGTTTCATCTGCTTTCAGTGGAACATTAATTGGTGAAAGCAGCACAGATGAGAAATTTAAAAAACAAGATACCAGCTGCTTTCTACTTTGTGCATTTTTTCACCTTTACTCATTCTGCCCACTATGCATAAAATACCCTCCTTGCTCTTGTCAACCAAGCCAATATTATCTTCTCATTTAAGGTCCTGTTATAGTCTTACTTTTCTGCAAAGTCTATAAGAAGATAGTCAATTATTTTCATTGTGCTTAATGGGATCTGTTCTATTTCTCTAATAAAAAAACACAAAGATGTGAACATGCCTAGTGATAAATAATCACATTATCCTATTGCTGTAACCTTCATCCTGGTTTGTTCTATCCCTCACACCTTCACATAAGAGGTCATGTCTAAATATAGTCAGCTGTTTTGGGTAAGGACAGCATCTTTCTTGTCTCTGAAGGATGCCTTTGGATGTTGTAAAATAAATAAGTACTGAGAACGTTTAAGCTTTTTGCTGTTGAACAGCACCCTAGATGTGTCCACTGCATTTAGCAGGAATATATGTTTTTCTAATTAAATTACACACAGGCTAAATAAATCATTAAGGCTGCAAAGTCGACTGCTTAAAAGTTAGGAAGTGATAGAATTAAGGTTGCCTGTGTAATCTTAACTCAGCCCTCTTGTGCATGTGCATTATGATATAGTTGTTAATTAGTAAAGGATCACAACCTAGGTTTTCCAAATAAGCCCTGCCTCGTTCGGTATGCAGCAAAGCTGTGCTTTGGGGATGAATCAAGGTTGGGGAGTGAATGAGGTTGCATAAAACCTTTTGTTCTCATTTTTTTTGTCTTATTGTAGCTCCTAGACACACTAATCGTAGACTGGGAAACTCCTGCTAGGTACTGGACAAACACAGCACAAAACTCTATCCTCACTCCGCAAGGCTTGCAACCTAAGCATAAGACAAAACATAGCAGATGGCTACAAACAGATGGGAGAGTACATTGTGACAGCACTGGTCAGCATGATAGGCAGTGCTCTTGCACACTAGCAGCCTGTTAAGTATTTTTGTAGGCATCATGGCAAAAGAGAATGTTAAGAAGGAATCTGAAATGAAATAGCTTTATGATGTCTACTCCCCTGTGAGGCTTCTCCCCACAGGAGGAACAGATTAGGAGAAAGCACAATGATTTGCACTTAAAAATGTAATGGGCACACAATGAATGTTGGTATCCTGGGTTAATCAGCTATGGGAGCTCACATTTTCACAGCAAATGGTGGGGCTGGTGGGGAGTGGCAGGCCATGGAAAACTTTCAAAGTGAAAATGAGTAGCTCATGTCTGATGTGAGAAACAAGAGGGAGCTAGTAGAGGCATGCAGAGAGGAATGCCCTGATCAAAGCAAGAAGCAACAGCAGTCAGTATAGATCTGAGCAGGAAAAAACCCTATATTTTTCAAGGCCAAAGAAAAATATGTCACAGTAACTGTAGTGTACAATGATTAGAACCTAGAAAAAACCTGCCAGTTGTGTGGATGGGCTAGGAAAAGCCAAACCTTCAAATCTTACATAGACTGAAGGGGCCGTAATCATTGCATAAACTGGAACGCAGGCACTGACTGAACAGTGCACAGTGCCCAGAACTAGTGGACACATTTTTCCTAATTTCTCATACCTTCATTTCCCTATGTGAAAAAGGGATAATACTCACTTTTCTCAAAAGGATGTTGTGAAAAGAAAGCTATCAATAGTTGCAAAGAGCCCAGATCCTGTAGGTAAGCTAATGAGAAAACTGTCTTCAGCCTATGGTTTGAAAAAGGCTGTAATTAAGGCATGGGATCATGTACTGAACAAGGGGAAAAAATACTGAAACAGTTGATCATGAAAGAAGCCCCGAGGCCTTTGGGAGAAGCCTGTGGAAAAAGTGTGTGTGACTGTGCATTTGGCATCATAATATACAGAGACAAGTGCTGTGTCTGCATGAGATGCAGGGGCCCATGACTACTGCTCAGTAGTGTCATGTGTCAGGAAGCATGATGCAATGCTACTACGCAGTAGTCATGAGCTACTGCACAGTCAGTGTCATGAAAGCCATTCCTCAGCGTTACTGCAGTCATTTAATACTTGTATAAACCGCGCAGTCAGCCTCCTTTATAGATGCAGCCAAGGCATCCAAGCAAGGCTCTCCTAGTGACTTCAACTCCAGCACTGCCAACTTTGGAGGGCTTGACTTTGTAACCCCAGTGACATTCTTTTAATACTAATTTTTGCATGTAATTTCCTAAGCTTTTAAGAACTTAAGAACTGCCATTTACTGGGTCAGACCATAGGTCTGTCTTGCCAGTAGCCTGTGTCACTCAGGGGCAGGGAGTAGATGCTGAAAGGGAGAGTGAATTGGGTGTGACCAGGGTTTTTCCCCCTTGGTCTCTCATTTGCAGCCTCCAGCATTTAAGATCTAGAAAGTTCTCATTCAGAGGCCGCATCCCTAACGTCTGGGCTCAACAGCTACCAATGCCCCTTTCCTCCAAAAACATGTTGTGTCCCATCCCTTTTTGAACCGGGCTCAGCTGTCAGCATCTGCAGCACCTGAGGGCAGCAAGGTCCCCGCTACCTGACGCTCTGCGTGAAGAGGAACTTCCTAGGGTTAGTTTGACACAGGTCGTTGGATCTCTTTTACTGGACATCGGATTTACGCAGAGGACCTTGTCTGCCTACGTTCATAAACCACCACAGCTACAACCCACACCCCTGCCGTTAGTTTTAAACTTACTGCCCACTCCGTTCGTGTTGCAACCCCCAGTTCTCGCCTTGGGGGACAGCCGGTAGCAAATCCCTGTCGATGCTCTCCCCACCAGCCAGCATGTTGTCAGCCCTCCTGGTGCTCGCCACGAGCCTCTCTTTTCTCAACACAGCAGGCCTGGCCCCTGCAGTCTCTCCCCACATGGACGCCCCTCCAGGGCTCATCATCCCGCCGCCCCTGCCTGGACCCTCCTCTGGGTCCTGCACCTCCCTGCCGAGGTGCGGGGGGGAAGCACTCAAGGGGGA